CTTGTTGGTTTGTCTATGGATTAGGTGAGTTAATGTAGGGATGTGCATTATGTACAGTTTGATGTAAACTGTTTGTTGAGTATACATTTTCGTAAGTCCTTGAAGGTAGGGTGTAAGCGTAAGCATTGTACTTGCTGTCCCCATTACATGATCGTAAGAGGCGAATTAATTTGGGATCTTATCTTTTGTCTTCTTTCGCCCCTGTGAGGAAATGTAAAAATGGTAGTTTTTACTCCTGTTTAACGCTCAGCAATTTAGGAGTGTGTGTTTGTGTGTGGTAGAGTGTAGAGGGGGGGGGGGGGGCGAGGTATATTGGTATATTGAACCACCTACCACTTTCAATTGGTAACTTAGTATTACATGTTCTAAACTTACAATACGCTTTGGCTAGTTTCGGAGGGAGTTCAAGTAAGTACTTTTCTAAACAAAGTTCGTACTATTGGTTCCTTTGGGAGAAGTATGAATTTTATTTCTCCAGTTTGATATAAATTTTCCTTTTAGTTTATGAAATATGGTACTTTTTAGCCCACGTATACTTTGAAACTCTTGACTATTAAATATATGTATCAGACTGCATTCTTCAAAAATACTTTTCACATATTTTAGCCATGAGGATTCATAATTTGATAAAATTGCTAACAGTTTATTACTTAATTTATTCTAGTTGTTTTTTGTCAATTTAGCCCAAAAACCGACCATTCTTACTTTGACATTAATATCTAGCGGAAACCTTCCAAGTTCTCCGTATATCATAAAGTGCGGTGTAGACGTTTTAACATTAATGTGTTTGCAAAATTTTAAATGAAAACGTTCGATACGTTTAAAGTTACAGAAACCCAAAACTTCACATTCATATAAAACAATATAAAGTCGGCATCAGTTCCGTGCTATCACAAGGAGACAAACACGAACATATCGCAGCCTCTCAAAGCACACACGCATACACTACACGCATGCATCTTGCACACAGGGGAGGCCGTCCTTCAATGACGATAGCTGTTGACAGGACGTTAAACATTTTCGTGATGTCTATTCTCAGGTCCCTATGCACGTAGCCTATGTCACCGACTAGAATTCCAGGCCCATCGCTGCTGGGCCTTGCATAAAAGCATTACATTCAATCTTACAAAAGCAGATGTACACGAAGGTTAATTTTCTAAATAACCTAAAATTGAGGATTGACTGATATCGTATATCGGATACATTTGTACATGTAGGTCAATGTACTGTGATCATACAATTCCCGCGAAAATGCGGACACGCCGGGATTGAACCAAGAACAGCAGACGACTGAAATCGCGCTTAAAAATTGCTAGCCATGCGAGAAATCTCTAATATTTAGATATCCCTGGCCCTAGTCAGAACCGGACATCTTACTGCTCTATAGGTGACTGGAATAGCCAGGCCGATAAACGTTATCAGTGCTTTGTGGCGAGTCAATCCTATCATAATGAAGTGTTGCTACCTGTGCACATGTGTTAATATATAACGCGACAACACCAGGAAGTCAGGTCTGTCGGGTAGTTTATAACGTGTATAGGGCGGGGTAGGTCGTTACCGTTACAGTGGTGTGCGCGAAACCCAAACAGGACACACACGCCAACATCTGCAAACAAGAATTTTCATCCAAGGTAAGTTTTGAGTAATATCGATCAATGTAGTCCTATTTTGACCACGTGCACGGTTTCGTGAAATTTGTTGGTGTCTAAGATTTCAGATGGGATGAAGAAGAACATTTACCAAGATAATGAAATCTTTTGAACAGGGAGTGCTGTATCTAGAACCGAACATCCCGAAAATAGCGTTTTCTTTACCCTTTCCATGGCGCCATTTAAAATAAACTTTATTGGTTTACATCAATTATGAAACACGTTTTACAATTTATACTAATAACTCTTGTTGGCCCGAATGATCTAATTACTGTGGGAGGAAATCAGAGAACCCGAAGAAAACCCACGTAGTCGGGCAGGTGACCCCATACCTTTTCACGTTCGATCGTGGAATCGAACCCCGGCCGCATTGATGAAAGGCAAGTGCGCTATCCACTTGCCACCCGACCACCCAATTTATAATTTAATCGATATTGTCACTGTCCATAATTCCTACTGTGAACTCATATTGGAACCTCACGTGACGTGATGTAAAATTAAAACATCACACTACTCTTGTTAGATATGGAAAAATGCATATAGACCTATTTCTTTCCTTGCATGAGAGTTGTGCAGTAAATACAGGGCACAATATAAACGTGTCTTTATTTCATCATTCATTTTAGTGGGTTTTCCTTCATCAATTTATCAGGAATGTAGTCGAGTATTCACGAAAAATATGTTCTTTCATCTATTTCGCCATGTCTTCCACGTCACTTCATCGACTTATGTCCATTGTCTTAGTGTTACGTCACAATGTCATGACGTCATCATATTGTCTGAATTTAGTCTTCAAAATTTATTTTATAAATAAATAATGCATGTGTTGGATGTACTCTGTGCGTTATCCTACACGTGTTTAGTTCTACGACACCGTATAATCATCCCCGTCTTGGTGCACACCTTAAAGTAACTTCCTTGATAAAAACACGGAATTAGATTGAAGTCCGTGATAAAAGTGCTGCGTTGTACAAATGTTTATATATTTAAGGATTAACTTGAATATAATTTTTATGTTATGGAGATACAACACAAAAAACCGGAGTGTATTCTAAATAAACTGCGAAGTACACTCCGGTTTTTTTGTATTATAGCTCCATAACATAAAAAATGTATTCAAGTTAATCCTTATAATTTAATCTACTATACACAATCCCAGTGGAAATCCACTTTTATTGATGGACTCTTTTCTCTTAGAAATGGTTACGCCGCTGTATACGTATCAGCCAATCAAAAGCGACGCTACAAACGGCGACATCATTTTTTTTACGTTATGGGCTAATAACATAATTGTTTAAGCCAATCAAAACGCTTGTTACCAGCAAGATTAAATTATTACCATATAACCCGGATCTTACTTTAGTTAATATATTCAATATTGAGATTTCGAAAAAAATACCCGTTCCGATGGTGAACTTTGATGTATAATTGAAACAGTTTGTTCCCTGTCAGATATTTTAGTGGATGGATACAATAACCAATTGAAGAACCCAGAGAAAATCTGCGTGATCGGGTAGGTGAACCAATTTATTTTCACGTTCGGTCGGCCTGGGAATCAAACCTCGGCCGTCTAGGTGAAAGTCGTTTGCGCAATCCACTGTGCCACTCTGCCATCTCGCTAGTTAAAAGGTTTGAGTGTGACCCACATCGATAATTAAAAGGTTTGAGTGTGACCCACCTCGCTAGTTAACAGGGTTGAGTGTGACCAACCTCGCTAGTTAAAAGGTTTGAGTGTGACCCACCTCGCTAGTTTAAAGGTTTGAGTGTGACCAACCTCGCTAGTTAACAGGTTTGAGTGTAACCAACCTCGCTAGTTAAAAGGTTTGTGTGTGACCCACCTCGCTAGTTAAAAGGCTTGAGTATGACCCACCTCGCTAGTTAACAGGTTTGAGTGTGACACACCTCGCTAGTTAAAAGGTTTGAGTGTGACCCACCTCGCTAGTTAACAGGGTTGAGTGTTACCCACCTCGCTAGTTAACAGGGTTGAGTGTGACCCCCCTCGCTAGTTAACAGGGTTGAGTGTGACCCACCTCGCTAGGAAAGGTAATAGGATTGTGTCACCATTTCTCCTAGTTAACAGGTTTGAGTGTGACCAACCTCGCTAGTTAACAGGTTTGAGTGTAACCACCCTCGCTAGTTAAAAGGTTTGTGTGTGACCCACCTCGCTAGTTAAAAGGTTTGAGTATGACCCACCTCGCTAGTTAACAGGTTTGAGTGTGACCAACCTCGCTAGTTAACAGGTTTGAGTGTAACCACCCTCGCTAGTTAAAAGGTTTGTGTGTGACCCACCTCGCTAGTTAAAAGGCTTGAGTATGACCCACCTCGCTAGTTAACAGGTTTGAGTGTAACCCACCTCGCTAGTTAACAGGGTTGAGTATGACCCACCTCGCTAGTTAACAGGGTTGAGTGTGACCAACCTCGCTAGTTAAAAGGTTTGAGTGTGACCAACCTCGCTAGTTAACAGGTTTGAGTGTAACCAACCTCGCTAGTTAAAAGGTTTGTGTGTGACCCACCTCGCTAGTTAAAGGGAATCAAACCTCGGCCGTCTAGGTGAAAGTCGTTTGCGCAATCCACTGTGCCACTCTGCCATCTCGCTAGTTAAAAGGTTTGAGTGTGACCTACATCGATAATTAAAAGGTTTGAGTGTGACCCACCTCGCTAGTTTAAAGGTTTGAGTGTGACCAACCTCGCTAGTTAACAGGTTTGAGTGTGACCAACCTCGCTAGTTAACAGGTTTGAGTGTAACCACCCTCGCTAGTTAAAAGGTTTGTGTGTGACCCACCTCGCTAGTTAAAAGGCTTGAGTATGACCCACCTCGCTAGTTAACAGGTTTGAGTGTGCCCCACCTCGCTAGTTAACAGGGTTGAGTGTGACCAACCTCGCTAGTTAAAAGGTTTGAGTGTGACCAGCCTCGCTAGTTAAAAGGTTTGAGTGTGACCCACCTCGCTAGTTTAAAGGTTTGAGTGTGACCAACCTCGCTAGTTAACAGGTTTGAGTGTAACCACCCTCGCTAGTTAAAAGGTTTGTGTGTGACCCACCTCGCTAGTTAACAGGTTTGAGTGTGCCCCACCTCGCTAGTTAACAGGGTTGAGTGTAACCCACCTCGCTAGTTAACAGGGTTGAGTATGACCCTCCTCGCTAGTTAACAGGGTTGAGTGTGACCCACCCCGCTAGTTAACAGGGTTGAGTGTAACCAACCTCGCTAGTTAACAGGGTTGAGTGTGTCCCACCTCGCTAGTTAAAAGGTTTGAGTGTGACCAACCTCGCTAGTTAACAGGTTTGAGTGTAACCAACCTCGCTAGTTAAAAGGATTGAGTGTGACCCACCTCGCTAGTTAAAAGGTTTGAGTATGACCCACCTCGCTAGTTAACAGGTTTGAGTGTGACCCACCTCGCTAGTTAACAGCTTTGAGGGTGACCCACCTCGCTAGTTAACAGGGTTGAGTGTTACCCACCTCGCTAGTTAACAGGGTTGAGTGTGACCAACCTCGCTAGTTAAAAGGTTTGAGTGTGACCAGCCTCGCTAGTTAAAAGGTTTGAGTGTGACCCACCTCGCTAGTTAACACGTTTGAGTGTGACCCACCTCGCTAGTTAACAGGTTTGAGTGTGCCCCACCTCGCTAGTTAACAGGGTTGAGTGTGACCCCCCTCGCTAGTTACCAGGGTTGAGTGTAACCAACCTCGCTAGTTAACAGGGTTGAGTGTGTCCCACCTCGCTAGTTAAAAGGTTTGAGTGTGACCAACCTCGCTAGTTAAAAGGTTTGAGTGTGACCAGCCTCGCTAGTTAAAAGGTTTGAGTGTGACCCACCTCGCTAGTTAAGAGGTTTGAGTANCTAGTTAAAAGGTTTGAGTGTGACCCACCTCGCTAGTTAACAGGTTTGAGTGTAACCCACCTCGCTAGTTAACAGGGTTGAGTGTGACCCACCTCGCTAGGAAAGGTAATAGGATTGTGTCACCATTTCTCAGTAGAATTTCTTCAAATTTTGAAGTTATTCCTCGCACTGTACCGAGAAACTTATACGAAGCCCTTTCCCTACAATTTTACATATAATTTTAACTATCATTCAACATATGATTAACTACGTATTAAAATAGATCCACTCACGAACACTTACTCGGAGCACACACGCATTCAACCTACACTCGCTCACACATGCTACCACTCACGAGCACACACATGCTTCTATACACGCGCACACACATACTTCCACACATGTGCACACGTCAAATGTCCTGGCCACATTGCGCTCCAGTTATACCCAAACGGAAGTGTTCTGGCCAAACTGCGCTCCAGTAATACCCAAATGCGGCAGTTAAGGGGAGGTTACTCTACATAGAAAAAAACTCAATGCAGTGATGGGACAGGGATCTTTAAGACAAAGGTAGATATAAAATATCCCGACTTCCTCTTACTGTTTTATTTTATTGTAAGTCTCAGTGTCCGGAATCCCCGCACTAGTCTGTCTCCGGAGTTTATATTGAAGGTTTTGCATGTTTTAGACAAAACATTTCAGGCTATGAAACAGTCATTTTCTATTTTAAGTCAAATTTTGTTTTCGTTTTAGACTTGTTGTTTTAGAAAAAGCCAAATCTAAAACCAAAATAAAACTATTTTTCAGCATATTAAAGATGCAAATCAATGACTGAAATATATCTACATGTCAGCGCCTGGCACAAGTTTCCGGGTGAACACTACAGCAAAATATAATTATAATAACATTTCCGTCATGTGGCATCATCTAAGTCTGAGAAACAGGATCCAGACGCCAACTTACGATAGGTAAAATATCAATAAGTCAATCCGAACTAATCAATACAATACAATACCATCCAATGCAATCACCAATACAATTTGAGGTTTTCGTAGGACCTGCCTTATCAGGTGTTAATATACCTCTACTTTATTTACTCTATATAAACGTAATTGGTTAAATCAAATATATCCTCACTTTTCCCTTCCGAACTCGGAAGCGACGCGCGAGGT